AGGAAAAGGGTGGTGATGAGGGTGGAGCAGTAGCGTCAGGGAGCATGTGGTTGCGGGTTGAGGGTGGTGCCATATGGGCAGAAGAGTGGCTGTTGCTGGAGGGCCTCTCACTTGACCTCAGATGGAGGAGCAAGGTCGTCTTCAGGGCTGGGGGGCAGGGCAGGAGGTTTTCTTTTGCTTAGAGCTTTATTATGGCTGGGCAAGCTAGCTTTGGTCAGTAGAAGTCTCCGTTTCCTGACAGGTGCAGGCACAGAGCCGAGGCGGGAGGCTCTGGCTAGGACTTGATCAGGCGGATCTCTCAGTCAGGAAGCTGTTGCTTTGTCCCAAACTTGGTGAATGATGTGCACACGTTGTGGTAGCTATGGGGAGCAGGCAACATGGGTGTGGCCCAGCACGCCTGCAGAGTATGGAGCCACTGGTGTTTTATTTTCACTCCACGATCCTTTCTGAAGCTTCTCAGCAGGCAGTCTGGGTCAGCTGGCTTACTCTGACGGGGACCCACACTGGCTTTGTATAGTGTGTGGTGAGCCCTTAGGTGGTGTTGCAACAGACAAGGGATGGATTCCCCCCTCAGAGAGAGAGAGGCCTAACAGCTGCCTGCCTGCTGCTTGCCCCATGGCAACCCTGGCAGCACTTGGGCGAAGGGGAGGTGTGCCGTAGTCCTCCGTGATGCCCGCTCAAGCCTCTGAAGAGAGTGCTCTGGGAGCCCAGTCGGACTGTAAGGGCACATTTATAGAATTGCAGCCACGCAGGTGCACGACGGTGAAGGTACAAGTCAGCGCGTGCCGGTGGCCAGGCTCATGCTGCTGTCGAGAAGCAAGGTGCGTTCATGTAGGCTGGATTGTGCAGGCCTTAACAATGTGTGACATCAAGCTGACTGTGTCCAGCTCGTGTTGTAAAATACGCAGTGATTTCAACTGGCATGAGAGACTTCCAAGTCCCCACGACTGGGGAAGTCTGGCTCAGCTGAGGAGCCCTTTCACCCTAAATACCTAGTCCTCTCAGAACCCTCCCGCCCAGAGTTCTGCCTTACAATATGGAGCATAGTTCTTATAATCCGTGTAACCAGTCATGGAACAACCTGCTCTTGACTTTATACTTTTGGCTGCAAACCGTCGTTACACAGCACTCAAACCTGACTCTGGGCTGGTGACTTGAACCTCTGGGTTTCCCAGCCTGCTAGGGTAACAAAAGTTGCCTTCTGACTCCTCTGTGCAGAGAGTCCTCCATTTGGTTTGATATTGGTTTTTCTGCAACATCTGTGCAGAACCCCAGGATAAGGTCCAGTCAAGCTCCGTGGCTCTGAGCCCCTGTGGGTGGCTTTGCCGTGGAGCGTGGAGGAGCATCCTCTTGCTTCCGTATCTGTTCACATGCTGGCGCTCAGAGGTTTGTACGTCCCAGCCCCAGCCCTTAAGGCAAAGTCTGGCTGAAACCAAAGCTCACTGTCCTGCCTAACACAGGTGAGCAGTGGCCAGGTCCTCCTTCAGCACATGGAGGTGCAGCTGCCCAGCCCTGAACTCAGCCGACATGCTCAGGGTCCTTCTGCTGGTCCAGTGAGGTCTCTGCTGTCCCAGGACAGCAGAGGAGACTCTGAGAAGGTGCACCTTCTCTCTCTCTCGGGCCTGCCAGTAAGTCCCCACCATGGCTAGCAAGCTTCCATGGTGACCCAAAAGGTCAGGGAGGCATTTTCCCACTCAGGAAACCAAGAATATTGTGGAACTGACATGGAACTGAATGGAAACTGCTCTGTACCGAGGAGCTGGAAGGCAGCCCAGTCACTACCCCACACGCTCAGGGCGGTCACTCCCAAAGCATCAGCCCAGAGCCGGTTTGGGCAGAGTGCACACAGGCCTGCAAGCAGGAGACACAAAGGCTTCCACCTGGGGTGGGTTTTATTGGGTAGCATCAGTTAAGTTTTTATTAACAAGAAGGTCCTTGAAAAAGGTGAGCAAGCAGGGCATGTTTGGAAGGGTGGGAGCGTGGGCCATGCAGCTCGCTGTGGTCAGCGGGGCTGGGCAGGTGTCTCCAGTGTAGTCAGTCAGGCCGAGCGAGCCGAACAGAGGAGCTCTGTGCAGGCTCATGGTCTGATTTTCTCCAGATATCGTGTCTGACTACCAACTACTTGATTTCCATATTTTGCATCTCATGGCCAGGACTCTCTTGGTGCCCCATGACTAATTTCATCAGTTTAATTTGGGTACAATGACCTTTTCTAGTCTGTAATCTACTGAGACTGGGAGCGAAATTCTCAGAGTACAGGTGTCAGTCATATTGCCCATTCCTGGATCAAACACTCACGACCCACAAGTCAGAGAGACGTTTTTTACCTCAAGGTTTTAGATGACTCACCCCATATTATGCTGGTTGTACAGAACCGATGGGAAGGTGGAAGCAATGGCAGGGGGGTGTGCAGCCAGGGGGGCTGTGAGTGGGGTCAGGGAGAAGCGTCGCCCTCCAGCCAGCCGCGGGACCCCTCCAGCCAGCCGCAGGACCCCTCCAGCCAGCCGCGGGACCCCTCCAGCCAGCCGCGGGACCCCTCCAGCCAGCCGCGGGACCCCTCCAGCCAGGCCCCGCCTGCAGGCGGCACACAGCTCCCGGCCTGCACAGCAGAGTGCAGCACCCACGGCCCTCACCACAGTCACAAAGCCTCCGGAGCACATTGCATATCTGAACCCCAGTGGAGGGGTGCACCTCCAGCGGTTGGTGTGGCCATAAATCTGTGACTACAGCTGGTCGGAGCTGGGTGCACTCACAAGCACAGGGTGCATCGCCTTCTGTGTGAAGTGAGGGAAACTGCTGCGGCAGCAGCGACCGAGACCGTGACCACGGTGGTGCTTCACATACGTGTGTGTGTGTCACAGCCAGGCATATTGTGTATCTCTGATGCAGTTACATGTTTCAAGGTTATATGTAAAATTTTACTTGTTGGTAGTTCTAAAACTTGAACTAGGCAACGAACTGCACAGATATGACCTTTTTATTAGTCCACTTTTTATTATTCTTGGCTTTATGCTGCATCCCTTATTTTACTTTTTTATTTTAAAGAGAAAGATAAACAATGAAACTGAGTTTCAAAGCGGGTTCTGAGGACGGCTGAATGGCCGCCACGCTGGGCACACTCCTGCCGTGCTAATCCTCCATCCTTGTGGGGCTGCGGCACGAGCTCAGCACGTCTGGGTCCTGTCGCGGCCCTACCCTGGCCTCCCTCCCGTGTCCTATTCTTGACTTCCTTCCCAACTGAGAAAGATCTCAGACTCAATAAGAACTAAACAAATAACCTAATCCCAGGCTGGGCAGAGCAGAGCACTAACATACATGTCTCCCCAAAAAAGAAGACAAAAAGTGAGAAACACATGAAATAAATGTCAATAGATATATAAAAAAATCCATCACTCTCAGTAATCAAGAAATGAAGTTAAAGCTAGAAGATGTCATTCCAATTAAATAAGATGCTGTTTTCAAAAAGACGAAGGGTCACATCTGGTTGAAGCCTACAGAAGCCATGCGGGCTCCTGGGTGCACTTGTGATGAGCAGGGACAGCAGGAACAGCAGCAGGAGATCCGCAGAAGCTGAGCACAGTCGCTGTGGGACGCAGGAACCTCACCGGGATGCCCCTCCAGCAGCACTGACTCCCCTCCCTGCCTCGCTGCAGCCCTGGCCACAACGCTGACCTCTGGAGCGACAAGGGCGAGGGCTGAGGGAATGCGCCCCATGCACTCTGGGCAGGTGCTCAGGCCTAGAAATGGCAACCTGTGTTCCTTTGCAGTAATGCAGATACAGCCAGAGGATGTTCTGCTCTGTGAGGTAAGCCAGGCCCAGCGAGACAGACCCTCCACGGACGGTCTCACTCACACGTGCAGGCTGAGAAGGCTGAGTTCACGGAGATGCACAGTGAGATCAAGGCTGCCAGGCCCTGGCAGGTGGGTGACGGGCAATGCGTAAGTATTGACCAACGCACACCACGTTCCCGTTGAGCAGAAAGAGCAAGCTTTGGATACCTCCACGTTCAGCGTTGGCTCTGGCAGCACCGCTCTGTTTTTCGGCTGCTGATTTTCACTGTCCCACGCCCACAGTGACAGTGACCACTGCAGTGAAGGTGTGGCGTTTACAGCTGCACATATTTATGAACTACCTCAAAGAATCACTCACGCACCGAACCCCAGAAATGCAAACAATTGTCACTTGTCAATGATAAAGAAAATTACAGAAGTTAGAATGTTCTACATATGAAAGCCACTTAGGAGCAAAGTTTCAAATTTGGAAAACTCTACATGATGACACTATATTACTTAAAAATAATAGAATATACTCTAAAGTATACAAACAAAATACAATATTGGATTTTATAAATCCTCTAAGAAAACAATGTGTTCTAGGTAAAGTCAAAACAGATAGGAACTTGTGTGACGTAACTATAAACTAAAAACTTCTTTGCACTATAACAGTGCAAAGAAGATGTTAGTATATTTGTTCATTCAAATATCTGGAGGAAAATAAACTTGGACAAAAAGTTGACATGTAGTTGTAGGTAAAAATGAACAATACGCTCCTGTCATCACCTTCTCCTGCCCTGAGGGCAGGAGCGAGTGCAAAGAGCTCAGTACACACAGCAGGATTGCACAGGACTCTCCACGCTGCTCCAGGGCACCCAGATCCAGCCCCCAAGGCGCTCCCAGCAGATGGCTTCCCCGATGGTGGGACACGTGGAGCCGCCCTGCACCTCAACATCCTGCCTGTTCCTAGCTCAGAATGAGCTCTACTATTTTCTAAACATCTTGCCAAAGTAAACCAGATGTGCAGTACTTCAGGTCACACATGTAAGCCACAGAAGTGCTCCACACGGGAACTGAGACATGGACTTGTAGTTGGCCACAACAAGTGCAGACACAAATGCACAGAGGCAACAAGAGAGAGAGAATCTGCAGGTATAGGTTACAATTAGGAACACACATTGAATATAAGTTAAACTACTTGCAAATCAGAGATTGACATTTCCGTTTTATTCTAGAAAAGCCCTGACAGGGAGCTGAGCGCATCGGCTGAACATTCTGCCCAGGGCGGCGTTGATGTCCCTGTTGCGTAGACAGTAGATGACGGGGTTCACGAATGGGGGCGCCATGGTGTAGAACATGGCAGTCAGCAGGTTCCTCAGGGAAGGCTGCTCTGCAGTGGGACCCAAGACAGCCACTGACCCAGAAATAAGAAACAAAAGGAGGATGGCCAGCTGTGGGGTGCAGGTGGATACGGCTTTGTTGCGGGCTTCCACTGAACGGATCTTAAGCACAGTTGAACATATATTAGCGTAGGATAGAAGCATAGAGACAAAGCATGCTAAGACAAGGCAAACGCTCACAGCAATGAGCACAGATTCAGAAAGCTGAACTTCTGAAGATGAAATCCGCAGAACTTGAGGGATGTCACAGAAATACTGCTGGATCACATTGGTCTTGGTGAAGGGCAGCCAGAACAGAGCCCCTGTGTGCATAGCGGAGTAGACCAGGCCAGAGGCCCAGGAGCCAGCTGCGGCCTGGGCGCACAGAGTAGGGGTGATGGTGAGCCCGTAGTGCAGAGGGCGGCAGATGGCCACGTAGCGGTCATAGGACATGACCACCAGGAACGCAATCTCCACAGCTGCAAACACCACAAACAGGAAAATCTGCGCAGCACATTCTGTCAGGGAGATCATCTTGCTTCCTGTCAGGGAATTCACTACGGCCTTGGGAACTACAACAGAGATGGTGCCGAGGTCTAGGAGGGCCACGTTGCCTATAAAAAAGTACATGGGAGAGTGCAGACGTGTGTCTGTCACAATGATTGCAACAGTCACAAGATTCCCTGTCAACGCTCCCAGATAGATCAGTAAGAACAGCACCCCTTGCAGAACCTGGAGCTCCCTGGAGCCTGCGACGTCCATGAGGAGGAATTCTGTGAAGACAGTGAGGTTGTCCTTGTCTGAGTCAGAGGTCACAGGAGCAGAGGCTGCTACAGGCAGGAGGTAGAGCTCCCAGGTGAACTGCAGCATGGTTTAAAATCAAGATCTTAGAATGCACGGATACAAAAAAAATATTTCAGTGTTCTTCTTCTAAAGTAGTGATATCCTGTTAGTTGCAGCAGTAATCATGTGAGATTATTAGTTCATATAGTAGTTAACAAGAGCAAGCCGCATCAATCTGTCTTTTCCTCAGTACTTTTGCAATGACTTTTCTGAATCTCCTGGGACACCACTTGCTTCAGCTCTGCAGGCCAACCCCGCTCCTTGGACAGAGCCTCTGTACCAACCCCGGGCTGGGACCACCCCCCCGCCCCCCGCTGTCCAGGCCCGGGCAGGAGGGCGACTGTGGGCCGAGGCCCTCTGTGGCTGGCTGCTCTCAGCCGCACTCTTCCTGAGAGCAGGCGCACGGACCTGAGCTTCCTCTGCTGATGGCTTTGCTCTAAAGGACACCAGGTGGTCACTCAGCTCAGGAGCTCCTCTAGGGGTGTGCCTGTGTGTGCTGGTGTGTGTGTGTGTGTGTGTGTGCGCACGTGCGTGTGGGCCCTTTCTGTCTCCCTTTGCACCACCGTCTATGCACGAGGGCATTTCCTTCAGCACGGAGAAGCTCTGTCTCCTAACGCCCGTGTGCAGCCTGCTCCCATCTTGTACGTCCTACCTGCCCATTTTGTCTGGAAGGAAGAACAGCAGCAGCTTGCAGCCTCCTGAAGGCACCACCCGGCTGGGCGGGGACTCTGACGTGCGGTGAGGCGGCAGCGTCCTCTCCAGATCCAGGGTCTACTGACTCGCGTAGCTGCTGGGAAAATCTCCGTATTCTAACATCAATATGTTGAATTCTGTTTATTTGCCTGTGCTTATGTTGAAGCCTTCAAATTATAAATAATTGGTTTAGAGTTTGTCCGTCCATTCTGAAAAGATGTAGTTTGGTGCTGTTTCATTTTCATTGGTGAAAAACAACAGTGAGGAATTTTACTATTGAAAATGTTAGCACCTCCTTAATTACATGTTTTATAGGTAATTACTTTGCCATTATAAATCCAGGCAGTATTTTTCTGCCATCACCATACATTCATGCAGCTTTTCAGGATGTTGCAAAAATATTTTACATGTTTTTTTGTGTGGTAAGTTGTTAAATACGTGTGATTTTTTTTTTTTTTTTGGCCTTATTTCTCTAGTAAAGACAAATCCCTTTGATGAGAGTGTTGTTTTCTTTTTTTTTTTAAGTTTTTTTTTTTTTCCGGTGGAACCAGGTATTGAACTCAGGCTCTTGTGCTTGCAGGGAAGCACTTATTCCACTGAGCCATCTCCCCGGCCCCAAGAGTGTTGTTTTCTAAATCACTACTAACTCCTAGTTGTGATAGTACTGGTAGGTGTAGTTACTGATGCACACCTGTAGTGGTTTTTCAAATTCTTTTCCCGAAATCACAGGCAGGCATCTTAGAGGCTTGGCCGTCCATGTCTTCTGACTGTGTCCTTCCTCCCTACTGCGGGCAAGTTCTCCCTTTCCCCACAGAAGTCCAGTGAGTCCTACTCCTCCTGTCAGTGGGTTTTGAACTTATTTTACTTACAACATTAGAAAGGACAGCACAACAATCTTGATTGCTAATTCACCAGAAATTATTTAATGGTAGAAATATAATAATATAATTAAAATCAGTATTATTATTTTAAAATCTTAGAAAATGTATCTATTATCCAAAATTATGCAAATTAAATATAAATATTAATATTAAATATAATCCAAAATTACTAGTTACCCTAACTTTGGTAAATAATTAAAGGACTACTTTTGCTTATGTCGTTTTATTTGGAATAAATGCCTCCTGAATTTCATCTGCTTCTTGCCTTCTTAGTTACACTTTCCAAATTGCTTGTTCTGATGCTTAGCTTCAATTTAATTTCTTATCAGTGTGATTTTTCTGTCTAACCTTGGCCATCTATGAAACACAGACCCTTGGAGAGTGTTTGAAGGAAAAATTGCCTGAAGTAAACCCTAGAATCTGTAAGCCTACGTATTCTGTAAGTATGTGTACATCGCACAGGCCTGAGATTGTTAAGTTTGTTTGAGATTTTGTGAAGCTTTTCAGGTACTTGCATGTGACATAGCATTACTGATGGGTCAGAAGTAGGTAACAACAGCGTGAACGAATTACCGGAGCGGTGAAGCAGCGAGTTTGACTCCACCGGCGAGACGCTGTCTTTGCTCGTCTCCGAGTCTTGGTGTGATCCTCGCCTCTGCTTCCTTCTTCACTTCCCAGAGAGCTGCCCCCATGGGCCACGGCGCAGCCTGCTGCTGAAATAGCTGAGAGCCGGCCGAATCTTCAGCTAGGACACGTGAAGGTGACGCTGCTGATGAGCCCGGGGCCCTGGTGACCCCAGCCTCCAAGGAGCCACGATTCCCCATGCCTCTGATTACCAGCATCGTGAGCTCGACCGTGGAGGCCCAGCAATCCCTACTGGAGTCTTCGGGCAGTGCGTATGTGTGAGATGCCAAACAGGAGGCGGCGTTCAAACGTGCTCCGTGCGTCAGTGGAGAGGCAGTGCGTCCAGGCTCATGTCTGATTGTGGGGGTGCTTTCCTTGCCTACCATAAATTCCTAAAATGCTGGCCTTCTGCAGCCAGTGCGCTGCGACCCTGAGGTCGGTGGCTACAGCGTGCCTGGATCTCTTCCGGCACATTGTTGTGAATATCGTTTTACAGAGAATCGGTCCCTGTCAAGCTGAATCTTTTATTCCTGCGGCCCTGACACAAGCCCTTTCCCGGAAAGCAGAGCAGGAAGCAGCCCCACGCAGCGCCTGCTCGTGACCGTGTGCAACACGTTGCCCTGCGGAAAGGTCAGGCAGCTTCTGGGAATCCGGTGCTTCCCTGGAAACTCCCAATTTTCAGTGCATTTAATCAGAATTTTTAATACACTTAATTCTGAGCCAGGTTTTGAGGCTGCAGAGTCTGCAAGGCACAACCCCAGTGCGAGGCCGTATGCTTACCTGTGTGCTGGCCGAGGCTGCAATCGCGGCTGCGAACTCAAGAACGCTTCCGTCATCCTGACGAGCTCTGTGCCCCCGTCCCTGCCCTGTCCTGCCGCTCTCCCCCCCGAGGCCACCCCAGCCACTGGTTCTTAGTCTTTCCCCTCTAAAGTTTGGTGTGAGTGAGCTGTAGAGTATGTGGTCTGCTCTGTGCAATTGCTAGTCTTTCAAGAACCCAGCCTGCCTGCGTCGGCATTGCAGCTGGCCTCATGGGCAGACAACACAGTGTGGTGTGGTCCCCACAGACAGGGAAGGCTGAGATTTGCAAAGATGCACAGTAAAGGCGCACAGCCATGAGTGCCCTCCCAGTCTTCCCTTGTCTCGCAACATGCTTATCCCGCCACGTTCTGCAGCAGCTCTGGAGTGCTCGTTTGTGAGTGTCTTCGGCTGCGCTGTCCCACTTGCCTTGCTGTCCTAAATTGCTTTGTAGCACTTACATGTCACGATCATTTAGGCTTGGGGACAAGCCAGGGCCACAGTCTCCGGCCTTATGCCAAGATGGGTGAGGGTGCCGTCGCGATTGGTGAGCCTGCCTTTCTGGCGGATGGCGCCTGGCAGCAGCGCTCAGCATACAATTTATCACTCCTCATACAGAGCTCACAGGAGAGGGTGGCCGGAGCTGTCAGGAGTGGCCAGAGTGGACGGAGGCAGAGCGAGGGCTCATACTTGGTTCATCCATTCCTGAAGCGGTGAGCATTTCGGCTCCTTCCAACTTTGCCTGCTGTGAACAACACTGCTCTGAGCACTTCCGGGCTTCCGTGCAGATGCTGCCTCTGTTTCCTTGGGAGCAGTGCTGCCCACCTGAGGTAGAATTCTTGGGTCACAGGACGACCACACTTGAGCTTGTGGGCACCTGCTGCACGTTTCCAAGGTTGCGGGGGAGCAGAGGGAGCCCGGGCATCTGCACCTCTCTGCGCCACGTACTATCATCTCCTTTCGTCCTGCCCCTTCCTGGGGAGGGCGAGACCTCAGCCGGCTTTGCTGTCCGCTCCCTGTGGATGAATGAAGTGAGGCATCATTTCATGCACTTTAGACATTTGAGAGCCTTCTTTGGAAGCTGTCTGCTTCGATCTTTGCCTATCTTTAACTGTTTCAATTTCATTGTTGAGTAACAGAAGACGTCATAGACTCTGGTTGCCAGTCAGCCGATGGGCAGGCCTGTATTTTGACATTATTTTCTTCCATTCTGGGGATTATACTTTCAGTTTAATTTTAATTTTTTTATAATTTGAAAGCCAGAGCTAAATGTACCTAAAATAAAATCTCCAACCTCCATCACCTTTAAGTACCAGGCTCCCCAGAGCCGCACACCTCCATGTCGGAAGCTCGGCTCCAGAGCTCTGTGCCTTGCAAAGCTAGAGTCTGCACACACTCAGTGCCTTTCCCAGCTTGCCTCCGCGAGCTTCTGCCAGCCATCCCTGTGTTTCCTGTCTCTGTGAACTGAGGTACTAGCATATCCACGAAGGGAATCAGACAGTATTATTCTTTTCTCCTTGTCTTATGATTGCAAAATATGATACAGGAGAGAAATATGACTATTGTAGCTCCCAACCTGTTAGACGTCTAATACCAAGTTTGTGCTCTGCAAAATTGAGGAATGAATTCCAGGAACAAGTGGAACACTAGTGCGAGAGAGAGAAAACTCCTGAGGGGCAGCAGGGGTCTAGAGGGGCTGCTCAGGATGCTTCTGTCCAGGGAGGTTTTATAGAGCACTGCCCAAGTGGGCTCCAGAGGGGTACAGCTGCAATGAGCCATAGGCCACAAGTGTACCCACTCAGGTAGCATTAGTAGTAGTAGTGGCCATTTAGGTAATGCTGATCCCGTGGGAAGCAGGTCACGTGGGAAGGCACGCAAAAGACAAAGACTTTCCTGGGAGATTATGGGCCCAGAGGTCTTGGTCACCGGCCAGGCGACTGACGTCTATCCGGGCTTTTGGGCCTGGTTTGGAGCAGACCCTGGTTCCAGGCAGAGGTTGTCAGAATTGAGCTGGATTCTAGGGCACCTGCCTAG